CAACATGTTTTCTTTTAACTGTCCATATACCACCAACCCCACCAAACAGCACCCAGCACAACCCAACCCAACCGTACAAAAGCTCAGCTTCGTCTGCTCAAATGTCAGGCTTATTTCTGGAACCCGTTCACCGGCAGGAAACAATTTGTTAATCGACATCGCACTGTTCCATTATTAACATTGTTAATTTCTGTGCGTGCTCAGTTTCACTAACAAACGTAGTTTTCATGATCTGAAGAGTTCGTAAATAATTAAGTAACCAACATAGATCGAGGGTTAATAGCAATAAATAAAATTAAATTCCCATTGTCATATAGGACTAAAGTGTCACTGCCAACACTGGAGTTTGAACATAGATCACCAGAGATCAACCACAGGCGATCCCATTTTGAATAAGTAGACCACATGATGATAAAGGAAATGTACATATGGGAAATAGCGTGGTATCTAAGTGATCACTATCCGGATTATTTCGGAAGTGTAAACTCTAGCCTCTGTGTAGAGAGGTACCCAGACAAGGCTGGTGTGGTTGACAGCAACCCGGCTCCCTTTTTGACGGGGTCTACTGGGTATTTTTTCCCGAGACTACGGGCTCGGATACCCCACAATAAACTTGGCCTTGTGCCGTATCCAACCGCATGGTGCGGTTAGTGAATATCTCACTATACGGATGACTATACGGATTACTATTTGGTGGTTACTATTCGAACGAGTATTATCGATTAAGTACTATTAGTGCGAGTATTATTCGAAGGCGTCTGACATCAGTATTGTTCAACGGCGTTACTATAGTTGTATCTGCGATCATAAAGTCTCTACTACAATGAGCATTACGAAAGTGACAACGAGTATTCGTTGACATCACATCATATCATTTATCTGAGTTACGAGAAGATTACATCCACTCGAGACATATATATATATACATACTCTTAAGGTGTGCTATATTTATGGAATAAAGTGCTCAATATCAAAGATAGAGCGTGTGTAAATATAAAAGTGAACATTGAAGTCAACACTTAGAGGCGACAGTCTGTTTCATGTTAGATGCAATCGTCAGGCCACGATTGCATCTAGCATGAAACAGCCAGTCGCCTCTAAGTGTTGACTTCAATGTTCACTTTTATATATATATATATATATATATATATACTCTTCAATAAAGCCACTAAGATACAAGAGGTTACTGAGTGTGGAAGAAACAGAAAAGGAAACATTAACCATGAGCAGGAGATGAAAAATATAAACAGGAGGTCAGTAGATATCAATTGACATTGCATTTAAATTTTTTCCAGATTAAAGTTAGTTGGAAAGCACGGAGCGGAAAGGGAGTTCAACAAGCGAGATGTGCGAGAAAAGAAACTATTAGCATAGAATTTATGCCTACATCTAGCCATCTCAACTGTAAATTGATGAGATCTCAACGCCAGTCGCTTAAATTCATACAGTCTAGGTACCACAGTAAAGAGTCCACCAGAACAATTGCTATGAAAGTAGAAAGGCAAAGCTAAAGTGAGGCAACCTTACAGGGTTGGGAAAGTGACTGAAACCGAACTGCAAGATAAAGATAGATAATACTAGTAATTCTTCTTTGGATTTTATCAAGGAGCTCAAGGTGAATACTATATATATATATATATATATATATATATATATATATATTACAATTTGTAAAAAATGTTTTATGATCGCAACACCGAAATTCCCATGTTTCAAAACTGAAACTTCAATTCACATTCAAGCATAAAATTTAAACTTAAAATACAAAGTTCCATCAAGAGATGCTAAGAATAACTTTCTAGAAATTGATTTACTTAATCCAGACAATTTCCATATTTTGAGATGTTGGCGTTAAGGAAAATTCCATCTTTTTTATTTTAGGGGTGGTAAGATTTAACTTATTTAGAAAAAAAAACATTATCTAATGTATTGTAGCTATCAAGTCGATCAAGTCAAGATGGAAGCTAGTGTATATATCTATTGACACAATCTTCCTTTTTTTCAAGTAGAAATTTGTGGTAGTGTCTATGTTCCAACACATCGTCTGGGTTTCAATAGCAATACATCTGGCATTTTTATTTTTTATTTAATTTTTTTTTATATATAAATTTCAATGACGATGTTTTCAAAAGAGGCATTCAAATACTATTTAGTCACATTTTTAATATTTTTATTTTTATTCGTACTGACGTAAGATATTACATTTACTACATGAGTATATATATGGTAATGTTAAAATTAATGTATTACAATCTAATTAATTATTCATAAATTATTTTATTTAAGATCAAATATAAATATATTAGTTTCATTTTATAAAATTAGCTATTACTTAAGGAAAAAACTGGCAATGTCTACAAAAAATATTTCATTTCTTTGATTTAATAAATTTTTATTTTTCAGTAACTTAAAAGTATTTAACATTTCACGTATGCACAAAGGACATAGGTCATTTAATGATCTACTAGTTCTTGTTTTTTTTTTTTTAATTTCCATTTTACTGTTTTATTGGTTTCTTTTAAATGCCAGAAATATTTAGATAAGTATGTCTGGTTGCGATGTTTAGAATTATTGAAAGAACTTTGGTGTTGTTTCCAACTTAATTTAAATTCATTCTTTGCACATCCTAAATAGACTCTAACAACATTAGGATTCTCAATAGATGAGATATTGCATTGATAAACTACCGATTTTATACGACATTTATTATTCAGAGCACAATTTTCAACATTTCTACAGTTACATAATTTTGTTTATTCTTATTTCAGGATTTATATTTCTTTGATTTTGGTATAAGTATTTATTCATAACTTTGGCATTATTTTCCTTGATAATCCTTTCTAAGTTCTCATTATAACTGTAATTTATTTTTAAGGTATTCTTATTAAGAATTGTTCTGTTTTTACTATTTCTAAGAAAACGTTTTTCAATTAATGCAAGGAATTTTGTCTTAGTTTACTTATAACCATTTGGATGAACGGGGTGTATAGCAAATGATTTTTCAATTTTATTTTTTCTTTTATTTCTAATTCTATTTTTTACATAATAAATCTTTGGGCATTTATAGCCACTATCCTTTAGAAATTTATCATAGAAATTGCTATGTTCATAAAATATTTCTTCATTTGCTGAATCAGTTCTTATTCTTTTTTCGATAAATGAAGATATTTGCTAAATTTTTGATGGCGGATGATCAGAATTAGGGTGTATATATAGAGGATTAGTATTGTTTTTTGTTAGGTAGGTATATACTATTCATTACATCTAATGTTATATCTTGGAAGTATGCTATTTTTTTGTTAGTATTTACATTTATGTTTCAAATTTAGGCATTTAAATTCTCTGTGTAATAGCTTTCTAATTTTATCTATTTTAAATTCATTAGACTTTCTTATAACCGTAAGTCTATCATCTCTATACAGTCCGATGTCGTTAATACTAATTTCACGATATGCTGTTATATAATATAAAAAATACCAGTAAGGTCCAAATATGATCCCATTGTGATGTCAAAACGGCCATCAGAGTTTTTAATCCGCTGGTCGCGATTATCAATGATAACTGATTTTGTCGCATTCATAATGTTTTATCCTCATCTGTTAGGTCAGAGTATCGCGTAGAAAAATCTAGGACACTCGTGAAAAGTTCCCATGATATTGATGGGTAGTATTCTTCAATAGCAAACTGTATTAGGGTACAATTTGGCTTGTCCTTAATATTAGTAAACCAACTTGTAACTTCTTTAATATTGATTCATAGTTTTAATCCTAGGCAATTCTTTATTTGTTGGTTAAGCCTTTCCAGGATTTTTTTAATTATTTTTCTGATTTCAGGTTGCGTCATGTTGATATTTATTGTAGTTGAATTAACTTCGATATCGGGTTTATGATACTTGATGGCGATATAGCAGGTTTTTCGGTTAATTTACTTACCCTATCACTAATATTCAATTTAACCGTGACTTACTTACTATTAAATTTGTTTTATACCATTAACATTTCTATTATTAGCCTTTTTAGAGTTCTTAGTTCATTTTTTTAATGAGATTTTTGTATTGATTTGTTGTTAATTCCTAAAATAACTTCCAGTCTTAACTGTTTTATTCATGTCATTTACTATTTTGTCCAGATGCTTTTATAAGTAGCATTTCTTTTTTTGGAAAGATACATTATACGTTGTTTATGAAATATATATATATATATATATATATATATATATATATATATATATGAAATCAATTTTATTATTATATAGAAAAATTAATGTGTGAAATTTGATCTATAAATATTAACAGTTCATTTTTTAAAATTTCTTTATGCCTTAGGTATCACAAGCCTGAGGAGGGATAAATGGAAGTTTCAGTTTTAAAACATGGGAATTTTGGTGTTGCGATGATAACATATTTAAAAAAACAATTAGAATATTATACTCTACTGTTGTATCGAGCACTGTATTTTTAAAAAAAAATAAATGCTAATAACTCAGAATTATAAATCTCATTGTTTTTCCTATTATTTTAATATGTGTGTGTGTTTGTGTGTTTCCGTGAGTGTGCCTGCTTGTCTGTGTGTGAACACAATTCTATGATAATATATATATATATATATATATATATATATGTGTGTGTGTGTGTGTGTGTGTGTGTGAGGATTATCTGTTGACTACTTAATTATATTATAAAGAATGTGATATTTAGTTATTTATTATGGCGATAAAAGGGATATAATTAAAAGTTAAGCACATTGATTGATGCATCCATTTGTTACGGTTTATCCACCCTTTGCAGGTTATTCATGGTCAAAAAAGATTTTTCGGTTATAAGAATATTTTTTGATGCAATAATGAATTACAGATACAAGTCTTATTAATTTACGGATAGTTGCAGGAAGAAGAGGATAATTCATAGCTTTCCCAAAGTGAATATAATGGACCAACTCGGAAATGGAACTCAGCTATCCGATTAACAATTATCCATTACATCACCCGCAACCCAAAGCTTACAACAAGTATTCCTAAGTGATCAGCCATCTAGTTACTGACCAGGCTCGACGTTGTTTAGCTTCGGTGATCGAGTGGGAACCGGTGTTTCAACGTGCTATGGCCATAA